CGTGGCACCCTTTACCCAATGTTGCAGCAGCACTAGGTGAAAAAATTTTCCACTTAAATGTCGGGCTTAGAGTATCATTTGACCCTGGAACGACTTTTAAGCCTCAGCAAGCCCGAGTCAGCCGTTAAAGCCGATTTTCACACTTTGTAACCTCCGTGATAACGTAATTTCCGTGATCAAAACACCCACTAAAACGTATGGGAATACCTTATGGCTCATGTTTTTAGGAAGGTAGTACAAGGTCTTTACTATAAATACCATTGCCATAACTCTAGTATCATCCAGGACCCCAATAATCAGAAAAACTTAATTGGATATTTCTCACTTTCGGCAAATCAGAGACGCCAAAACTACCCCGAAACGTGAGAATCGTTCTCAACTCACTTCGGCGTTTAGGCTTCCGCGTCCATCTCCCGGCCGGCAGTCTCTTGGAGTGTCTAGCTTTGTTGTTGCTTGTCGATATTGTTTTCAACAACATATAAAAATTTCAACTAGCGTACCTCGTCTGGAGACCAGCAGCAGGCAGTACCGTCATGGATCGAGGTATGTGTCTGTTTACACCTCTACTCCTAGGTTATGGTGTCTTTGTTGTTGTTTTGTCTCAGTGATTTTCTTTGCTTTTTTGGGCTTTTTCCATCTCATTGAATTTTAATAAGCTCTCTTTGGTCTTAAGGGGGGACGCTGGTGAAAAAATAGCCAAAATTCCAAAAAATAGTATTTTCAAAGTTCATAGATAAAAATGTGTATAGAAGGTTTCAGATTCAACAGGTTGAACACCTTTAAGCTAAGTGGGTAGTTTCTTTATCATTTGGAAGGAAATAACATTGAGATCAGTTGTCGTTGGCTTCTATGCTCAACTTCACAGCTTTGCTCAGTCGAGAAAAAATTTTGTCGTAGAAAGACTTTCTGCGTTCCTGGTTGACACCTGCATGAGTCGTCTTGCATGAACTCTGTTCATTGATGACTTGTCGACAAATTTTAGTGACAGAATCTCCTTTTTCAAGCTTTTAGGTGTGTTTAAAAAACAGTACGGCTGATATCAAGATTCCGTCACTAAAATTTGTCGACAAGTCATCAATGAATAGAGTTCATGCAAGACGACTCATGTAGGTGTCAACCAGGAACGCAGAAAGTCTTTCTACGACAAAATTTTTCCTCGACTGAGCAAAGCTGTGAAGTTGAGCATAGAAGCCAACGACAACTGATCTCAATGTTATTTCCTTCCAAATGATAAAGAAACTACCCACTTAGCTTAAAGGTGTTCAACCTGTTGAATCTGAAACCTTCTATACACATTTTTATCTATGAACTTTGAAAATACTATTTTTTGGAATTTTCGCTATTTTTTCACCAGGGTCCCCCCTTAAGACCAAAGAGAGCTTATTAAAATTCAATGAGATGGAAAGAGCCCAAAAAAGCAAAGAAAATCACTGAGACAAAACAACAACAAAGACACCATAACCTAGGAGTAGAGGTGTAAAAAAAGACACATACCTCGATCCATGACGGTACTGCCTGCTGCTGGTCTCCAGACGAGGTACGCTAGTTGAAATTTTTATATGTTGTTGAAAACAATATCGACAAGCAACAACAAAGCTAGACACTCCAAGAGACTGTCGGCTGGGAGATGGACGCGGAAGCCTAAACGCCGAAGTGAGTTGAAGGTGCGGAGTGCGGTGGCGGGGTGGGGGTGGGGCGGGGTGAGGGGGTTGGGCGGGGTGGGGTGAGGGGGTTGGGCGGAGTGGGGTCCGGAGAGGGGCGAGTGGGGCGGGGTCCGGCGAGGGATGGGGCGGGTACAGCCAAACAACCCCAAACAGACGGAAAGGCTGCGCGCCGGATGGGCTGCCTACCTGCACGGGGCGTCTGAGCCGATTCGCGTGCATAGCTTCAGTAAAAATGAGAAATCTTGTGTTTAGAGGACGAAACCCAACTTTTTCTATATACCAATCGAAAGCTTATGAAATTTTGAGTAAATGAGTACACATTTGACAAGTTAAAATGCTGCCGTTTACTTACTTTCTTAATTGGAAAAACATCTAGTGCAAATTTTGAATTTTAGCGGCATTTGGGCGCAGTTTGGGATCCACTTACCCGATCGGGCTCATATTGGTACCGTTGGATTTGTCTCAAAATTCCCTTTTGAATGGTATAAGCGGCACGAGTGTAGCTCAAACCCCTGAGCTTCAAAGCTCAAAAATGTGTATTTTATTTAGTCAAAATTTGAGTGCACACTTGTTTATTGCGGCCTACAGCTCCTAAGGGAGGGCTACACCCACTATTTTTTTAAATACGGATATGGAAAGCCCATGAAATGAACTACAATTTAGCCTGTTCGGAAGTGCAGATTTGGATTTTCTACTAGGGTAGACAGGCTCGTGAAATAAGGCTTCATTTTCATGTTTTTCGCAATTAACTCCACCGGTAATCACGCTAGACCAAATCTGAGGGCAGATTCGGATTCCTCGTCGCATTTTACGTCAGAATAGCTTTACCGCATGAAAATCCGACAAAAAATGGCCTTTTAGAGCCATTTTGAAGAAATTACAAATTTTTTAAGAGTAAAAAATTAAAATGCCGATTCTGACCAAACCACTTGAGATATCGACCTAAAAATTTATGGGCATGTTCCTGACCCCTAGCGCTACCTTCGTGCCAAATTTGGTCGAAATCGTCAATGGTCGCCCAGATCCGTGTAAATCTTATATGGAATGACCCTTCTGGGACTTCGAAATATTTTCGTCTCAGCTACGTAAACACTGTGAGTTTGACGCCGCTGAGCACCGAAGTACTGCAAATCAGGCTCCAATTCAATGCGTTTACTGTTACAGATCACAGTGAACACTGTGATCGAGATCACGGTGAACGCCGTGAACTAGTTCACAGCAAACGCCGTGAATTGCTTAACAGCAAACATTGGTCATAAATTAACGGCATTGACAGGACATTTTTTGTGCAGTGTTCGCTATCGCTCAGCCAATGAAGAATAAAAAAAATTGCAGAATTAAAATCTATGTACTTTTATTCTAAGATAGCACTCACTAAAATTACAAGAACAGTGTTACAGTAAAATTGACATTTCACATGCAGTTAAATAGAAGGTACATAATAAAGGGTACACATTTTAGTCAGATAAACAGTTCACAGCATTGTAGTTTGTAGTTTCAGAAACTTTCAAGACAAAAGAAAAATAAAACTTAGCACTTAAAACTATTCTTTTAATTCGAGCAAAAGTAGGAAACAGATGGTCAGAATCCATTGCTACGAAGACTATGATGCAGCATGCCATGATATTCTGCCTATGGCACAACGGAGCAGACACCTCTAGATTCATCTTCGTGGAGACATGGGTAGAATACTTTCAAGTATGAACCATCAATATGAGAAGCGTCTATATGCCCAGAGGGGCAGCTTAAAATTCAATATCTAAGCCTTTCTTACTTTCTAACCAGAAACAGAAACTTAGTTGTTCTTTAAGAGCAATAGTACGGCCAATGAACACTCTGGAACTAAAACTATTGGCATGGGGCATGGCACTTTGTTTAGACTTTAAAGTAGCAGTAGAAAGATGTGCACTTGGTGCAAATATGAACAATTCAAGCTGTAGCGAAAAACTAGCTCCAAAATTGCATCTTCTATGCGGTTTAGAAGTCGGTTTAGAAGTTTTGGTATAAACCGAATGTTGTTTCGACTAGCGATCACGTCGATTTGAGTGCCGGTGTCCGCGGCTGCGGAGCCTGCCGCAGGCAGGTCAGTGACGCAGGCCAGAGAAGTAGTAAATGCCAGGCATGGATGGATTGTCGGAACTGGCGCAGCGTCGCGAAGGATTTTACGTCAAAGCCGCACGGTTTGGCGGCGTACACCTCCACTGTCATACATTTTGTGATAATTTACTCCATTTTTTGGCGATGAAACCAAGTTTGCGATTCCCACGATTTACCCCCCCCCCCCGGCAAATTATTTAGTCATTGCATTTTCTTTCGCAATAACCACTCCCTCATTTTATCGATAAAACAACCTTCTGTTGTATTTTGTCACCTTTTTTATGCTGTTACTTTTCATGGAATTTTCTTTGTAGGCACTCTCGCATAAAAGTGACGCTTTATTGCAAAATTTAGATACACATTTTCAGTAGTCATCATTGCAAAATGGAAATTGTGGTGCGTTTCACTCTCAGCTTACTGACTTTTTTCCTCATTCCACGTTTTCGTATAAACAGCAATAGTACTTAGTATTTTCTAAGTAAGTAAGACCAGTTTTCTTTGTAAAAGTATGTACAAAATAAAATTATTAGTACATTATTTAATATTTACTAAGTCTTTAAAAAAAGAAAAGTACGTATCATGGTTGCACAAATTACTTGCATAAGTATACACTGCCAATCCAAGTGTGAGACAGTCTCACACTATTTAGTGCGAACCGCGGTGTCTCACGCTTACAAAGTGTGAGCCACGTTTGTCCCGCGCTTGCAAGTGTGAGACATCATTTGTCTCACACTTACAAGTGTGAGGCACGCTTTGTCCCACTCTTACTGCCTTAATGCCACAGGATCCACGCTCGTAAGTGTAAGACAGACCGTGTCTCACGCTTGCAAGTGTGGGACATTCCGTGTCTCACACTTGTAAGCGTGAGACATCGTGTGAGACTTTCTCACATTTGGATTGGCAGTGTACACATGACTACACGAGTACGGGCGAGTTCGCTTTCTTAAACACATAAATTTCACATTTTTAAACCTTTAAAGGTTTGATTCGGTGTTTCAGACACTTCGCAAAACCAAATCATACTTAAAAATTTTCCTTTAAGTACACTTTTTGATATGTGGGTACACAGAGAACGGGCCAATTTGTACACATAAGTACACCGGTGATTCACCCTTCGAGTGATGCTAGTGTGGGCTGCCCGCTACGCGACTCCACGCACGCCGCCATGCAAACCACGAAAACCCGAATCCACACACTCAGCTGAAATGAGCTACTCCTCGCCTGGCCGGGCCGGAGCGTGCCTTGAAGCGGTCCCGACCGCGTCCCCGCGCAGATCCGCGTCAGTGAGGCTGGGACCACAGAGCAGCGCGGACCACCACGTCGCTCCAATGACGTCATCGCTGCTCGCCACGGCTCTGCTCGTCGCCGCGGTCACGGCCGCGACCTCAGCGGGAGGTAAGATAGCCACGTCCGGGCCGCGGCACCACACTGCCAGAAAGAATTGAATCGGCCCGCACTGCATTTTCAGGTTAGAACTCACCCTGCGTTGCAGTGCAGTTGTCCCCACTGTTAATAAAAGTTCTGAAAATTCAGACCGAAAGTGTCGGACTTTTCCGTCTGAGGGCCCCCCCACGATCCACGTTCTAGACCGCCAATACCTTACACATTTCGATTTGCTTGAGATAATTCGAAGGTGATAGTCTGTCGAAAAAGTACTGCGAATCCTGCAAGGAGGCCAAACCTGTGACCCGAATATTCGCTATACTCCGTGCATTGTTGGCTGAGCGATAGCGAAGCCTGTTACTCCAGTGGGGTTGAAAAGTTTTTCCTGTCTGTCTGTGTGTCTGTGTGTGTGTGTACACTACTCCTCCTGAACGGCTCGGCCGATCTGGCTGAGATTTTGCAGGCTTATTAGGTATGTTCTTGGCTCGGCACACGCAAATTTCACTATCCTAGCTCAACTGGTTCAGTTTTTACAGCCGAAAAACACCTAAAAAACGGCGAAAAATCGAATTTTCTGCAGGCAGATCACCTCTGCCTTGAAGAAAGGGAGGTCTGGGGGGCGGAGCCCCCCAGCCCCGACAAGTTAAAAAGTGACAAGGGTCCAGATTGTGTTATCTGTAGATGAAGCAACTCTTTCTAGAATGAAGGGGAGTCTGGGGGGCGAAGCCCCTCAGCATGCATCACGTAAGAAGTAACCGACGATGGACAAGCCAATGTCTGCCGAAGGCAGGCTAGCGCCGCAGGCCAAGGTAGGTACGCCAGGCGCGGATTGGAGGAACAGGCCGCGAGACATCGCGAAGCCTGTTACGACAAGACGCGGTCTGGCGTAAACCTACCGTCAACGGGGGTAACTTGGGACACCGAGGTAACTTGGGACAGTCTGCCCTGTACCACTTGTTGGTGCTGCCATTCAGCGACGGGGGTTCCTAGCGTCAAACCCGCGGCAGGGTTTTGATTCAGAGGCCTCAGGGCACGCGCGAAAAAATGGAAGAGGTGCATGACATCACTTTTAGTATTTCAGAAACAGGAAACTGCATTATAGGGCTTTTGACAAAATATGTCAATCATTGACAAGTTGACCCTAGTGCAAGGAGTGAAATGCAGATTTGGCTAATTAGTCTCGCTGGGTTGTTAGATCATACACAGACAATAACGTTCGCAAAAGGGCATTGGTTATAGTTTTCCCATCTTCGGTCCAGACCTCAATTTATCAAAAATCGAAATTTTGCGGGGTAACTTGGGACAGTCTTTTCCTCATGTTTCCAGCAGTCCTAGCCTTCTAGGAGTTGACTGACCCGGTCCCTGACCTGACTTTAACTTCGGATATTACGCTGATGATGGAGAGAGATGCCTTGCTCTGCAGTTTTGTCTTCTGGTAATCCATATTTTGAAATTTTCAGAAAATGCTTCGATAACACCAGTAGAAAAAAGAGTTCCACGGAGAACCCTAGATATAGTCCAATATCGGTCCTACAATAGTTCCTAGGCCTGAATTCTTGGTCTACATGATGTGACTTAAATTCATTATATACATTCACATCAATAGATGCATAGAAATGTAGGTAATTACCTACTGTCCCAAGTTACCCCCGGTCATGGGGTAACTTGGGACACTCTTTCGAGACCGCTGGGAAACGATATAATCGAGGCAAACGAACCAGACAAGCATGAAATTATGGGGAAAGGGTTAATCTGTAACATAGTTGGGATCCATTGGTGTGGGTTGAGAATCTTGCCTCTGGCGTTCAAAAAACGTGAAAAAGTGTCCCAAGTTACCCCCGTTGACGGTACCTTGTTATTGAAGGTTGAATTTCGCATGTCTCCAATGCTCCACAACTGCATTCATTAAGTGTGCTCCTAAACTTACACTTGTCCGGCAGCAAGGAAAAGTCATGCTCTATCTCTAAAAATTGCTTCCTAACACATTGCCAGCTCAAGGGCGATAAGGCGTTCCGTTATCCTACTATCACTGAGATATGGGTTATCGCCTTCACCTGCCGTCAGCTGGTGCCGAAGCTTCGCCAGGTCAGGCACGCACGCCGCGGCTTTCGGTTCGTCTCGCGAGTGGGGTTACGGCGCGTTTCGTAATATTAACAAGGTAGGTGTACACCAGACAGTGGCTTGCCCTAACAGGCTTCGCGATGCTGCGCGAGTTCCGACAATCCACGCCTGGCATTTACACCTACCTTGGCCTGCGGCGCTGGCCTGCTTTCGGCAGACTCTCTCGCCACAGATCGCCACTCAAAGAACCCTGATCGCACATCAAAGCAGCATTCTGATCCAACTTTTGTGCTGGTGAGCTCCACCTCTCAGACCCCCCCCCCTTTCCCTTTTAAGTACGAGGCGACAAGGTTTGTTCGTTGGTCAAACTGCATGACATTTTTCGTTCGACACTGTTAAAATTCTGGCTAACCTTTGTCCCATTAGGACTCGGACCTGGGTCGGAAGTCGAAATGGATTCTATTTTCATTATTAGCACCCTCTATAACACATGAAATGATGTAAAACTTAACATGACAACATATGTCAGTAAAAAGTTAGGTTAGGTTAGCGTACACTGAGATTCCAAACGCTATGAGTATAGCGTCAATTGGTGCTATGCAAAAGCATTGCACATGAAGTGCAATGCCTCCCCATTCCCATGCATTAGCATAGGGCCTTTTCGGGATGCATTGCACGTAAGGTGCAATATGGCTATCGCATTGCACGTATGGTGCGATATCTCAGCTGCATTGCACCATACGTGCTATACTCATAGCGTTTGGAATCTCAGTGTAGTGTGTATGCTCTTGTCACCAGTGTGCCGCATCCGACATGTCAGTTAAGAAACCCAACCAGTTCCGGTCAGTGGAAGAACTTTGTCTGTTACTTAATCCTAAATCATCAGACTGTTGACATGACCTCATCTCTTGTTAACTCTGTGGCAATACAGCAAAGTGACGTAAGTCAAAATCATCAGTATTTCAGGAGACGTAAAAAAAACACTTTTAAAAATCAAGCAATAGGCTAAAACCTTCATCGATGATAGGAGAATTGCTAATGGCACTTAAAAAATACTTTTATCTTAAGAGAAAGTTAAAATAATGATTAGTTTTCCACTTCGCTGGACTTACGTTACATGATTTGAGAGTTTTAATCCAACAAAGTGACGTAAGTGCACTTACGTCACTTTTAAAGTTATATTTTGCTCCGTTGTGACCCCTTCTATATATTAAAGTTTAGACAGTTCAAATCATTGCTTATATGACATAATCGCACTCGAAGTTCTGCCCAGTTGTGAAAAAATCTGCGACGCAAGTGTACTTAAGACACATTTTTTACGACATGATTTCAAAAAATGTGTCGTAAGTGCACTTACGACTTTTTGGCAAATTGACTTCTGAATGAAATTGACTTACGTCAGATTTCACTTGTCATTATCTCCTAGAAAAATGCAACTGTGAATATTGGAAAAGGTCCGCATCAATGAGAGGATTACAACCGTGCTACTAACTCGTTTTTGTCGTAAGTGCACTTAAGTCACTTTGTTGTAATGCCACAGAACTGAACGTCCGCGGCCGAGGCCGAAAGGGAGCGGACTTAATCACGAAGGCCATTGAAATTCGAGGACGTTTAGATAACGGACATTTTATAAGTGACTTTTAGGTATGGGATGGAAAGAAAGGGCCAAAACTTCGTGGGACATATTTTGAGCGGTCATTCCTTCGTAGCACCCGCCCATGCAATACGTACAGGCGGTCGTATTACGCATGATTCATTGAAAGGCACGGCGAATTATTGACTCAGCGATAGCGAAGTCTATGCCGTGTTTGGGAGCATTAAAAAGTGACCGGTCGTGAGTCTGTCTGTCTGTCCGTACTCAGCTCACTCACGTTTCTCAGCAACTACCGCACGAATAGTGTCCTAATTTCGCACCTGATGTCTCCTAAACATCCTCAAGGGGGAGTTCATATCAGTTTAACATCATCGTTTGAAATATTCGAAACATCCTTTGAACTTGGTTATTAGCGTAGTTAGGTTAGTAGCCGCGTGGCTGACTAATTTCTTATTCCTGCTGCCGAGCTTACAAGCCGTCTACAAGAGGGGATGGCACTTCTGCAGGGATCCTTAACTTAACCTAACATTTAACTAACACTGCTTTCATAACGTAACATAAGACAACGTTCGCTAAAGGTTATGGGTACGGACTTTTGGAAGTACTTCCAAAAGTATCTCCACACAAATTCGAAACACAAAAAAATAACTTAACCTTTTTGAAAAGATGTCAGAAGTTAAGGTTAATAACTTTAACTCTTACGATAACGTTATGATGCCCTTATGAGGTAAGTTAAGGATCCCTGCACTTCTGCTAATAAAACAAACTAAAGAGCACAGAGGTTCTCAAATAGGTTCTGAGATAGTGTTTTAACACTCTTGAATGATTGAATTCCTTCCGGAGTGTCAACAGAGAAAAATACGAAAAATGAAAGTGAGAATGGATTGCGTGTTTTGTTTTCCTCACACTGCAAATCCAAGTGTGGGACAGGCATGCAGATAGCGTGGGACTGGGGCTGCCCAACGCTTGTAAGCGTGGGACAATCCGAGTCCCACGCTTGTAAGCGTGGGACAATCCGAGTCCCACACTTGCAAGCGTGGGACAATCCGAGTCCCACACTTGCAAGCGTGGGACAATCCGAGTCCCACACTTGCAAGCGTGGGACAATCCGAGTCCCACACTTCCAAGCGTGGGACAAATTGAACTCTTATGCCAACCGTATTTTTAATTTTCATAGTAAATCAAATCATGAAAGTGCGTAAATAACTTGAAATAATTAGTAGGCACACATATTTTGGTAAATTGCCTTGTTTTGACTCGGAAAATTGCAATGCTGCAAGCTAACATAAGTTTAATCGTGTCGCACAATATTCTGCAATGATTATCGCAACTTTCTGCAATGAAAATCGGAATTATTGCAAAAAAACTGCGATTATGACAAGACAAAATCTGCAGTCATAACAGTTTTTTGCAATGATCATAGCAAAATTTTGCGATACCTCAAACCGGGAGAACTTCAGACAATATTTCACGTTTTTTGGACCGTGTGTCTACAAAACTTCTCTCACCAAACCGAAACCTAACTATGTTTAATTTCACATGATTACAATCGGTTTGGAACTCATGAATTTTTTGGGGGTCAACTAAAATGAGAGTCATGGGCCTCTAAAGTTGTCTCAAGTTACCCCGTCATATGGGGTAACTTGAGACACACCTATGGTTTACTTTGCTTTTAAACGGAAGTGAGGTTTTTGCCGGTCCACACTGATTTTCTGAGACATTTATCTGATTTTCAATGAAAAGGATTACTTGTGGAATATATTAGAAGATTTTTGAACCTTATATACAAGGTAGGTTTACGCCAGACCGCGTCTTGTCGTAACAGGCTTCGCGATGTCTCGCGGCCTGTTCCTCCAATCCGCGCCTGGCGTACCTACCTTGGCCTGCGGCGCTAGCCTGCCTTTGGCAGGCATTGGCTTGTCCATCGTCGGCGACTTCTGACTTGTTGCATACTGGGGGGCTCGGCCCCCCAGACCCCCCTGCATTCTAGACAGAGTTGTTTCATCAACAGATATCACGATTTTGACCCTTGTACTTTTTAGCTTCTCGAGGCCGGGGGCCAGCCCCCAGCCCCCCCTTTCTTCAAGACAGAAGTGATCTGCCTGCAGGAAACTCGATTTTTCGCCGTTTTTTAGGTGTTTTTCGGCTATAAAAACTGAACCACGTGAGGTAGGATTGTGAAATTTCGCGTGTGCCAGCCAAGAACATACCTAATAAACCTGCAAAATCTCAGCCAGATCGGCCGAGCCGTTCAGGAGGAGTAGTGTACACACACACACACAAACAGACAGACAGACAGAAAAAACTTTTCAACCGCACTGGAGTAGCAGGCTTCGCTATCGCTCAGCCAATTAAGATTTTTTGAACGAAGTTAAATTTTGTAATTTGAGGGATAACGGCACTTCAAAGCGCAACGATTCTCCCATGTCACATCCAACCCTGTCAACAACTCCCATGTCACATCCAACCCTGTCAACAAAGTGCAGCGAGTCTCTCATTTCACATCCAACCCTGTTAAGACATTTTTTTATTTCTACGTACACAAATCCAAGGTAAATAGTGTTAGTCAATTTTTAAAATTTATTCAAAATCCCTTAACTATTTTAACCGTTCTTGGGCTAAAAGTTGTCCGATTTCAATGACATTTAGCTCGTTGGAAAGGTTATTCAATTGCCCCGCCTCATCTGGTGCGTGCGTAGTTGAGGAACACTCCAACTTTAGGCTGCATATCAATTCGGGACCCTCTACAATGTCTGAAAAAGTGATTCCCGATCAAATGTGGCTTGGTTTTGATCTTGGAAGAGATAGGTCAGTCACTTCAAACCAACCTGTAGTGCAAGGAGGTGCCTGTGTCAAGTTACGCCACTCAACTTCCGTCATATTCAATGAAATTTGGTGTCTGAAGTTACCCCGTGCAGTTACCATTTTATATAAAGGTCAGTATTGTCCGATGAATGATGGGTTCGCCTCAAAACCAATGCAACATTTAGAATGTTGAAATAATAGGTTCGAAAGATAGTACAATCATTTGGATCTCAACAAGACGTGTTTCGAGTACCGAGGGAGACTTGTAACACTTCTCTAAAATTGCTACATTTACAAAAATTAAAAAATCTTTATAGAACTGACCAGCTTGATCTTAACCCGCCTTTCAAACGCAAAATCGTCTTTCCAAACAAGCATGAAGAAAAGTGCTAGCTCACCACACCTTTTTGAAATGATCATCACAAATAACACGCAAAAAAATATAAATCAGACCCAAGCTAATTTTTTTAACAGCAAAGAATTAGCTGCACAGCTAAAAAAGTGGTCCCGTAGCTAGCAACTCTAGCTGCGCGCGGCTACTCCGTTAGCTGAGTGTTTGAAAAATAACCGCGTTTTGAAATGGCGAATGTGTTGCCGGATTCAGCTATTTCCGCCTCAGTGGTGCTAATCGAGTGCCGCTAAAATCCGTCCGCTCTACTGCAAATAACGCTAGGACCGGAGCTCGAGAGGTTTACGAGTTTGCACATTTATTTTAGCTGTGCTCGATCTCTTTCTCTCTCCATTCTCTTAGAGATAGCCGCAACGAAGTCTGAGAAGGGGATGTCAATAATTATTTTCGTGATTTGTGATGTAGTTTGGATTGGTTGTTGTGGCTGTACTGCAATATCCCCCGCGGTTCTTATTCGCAGATCGCGACCATTCGTGACGACGAAATGTCTCGAAATTATTGTGATATGTTTAATAGCTCATTTGGTAGGATTTCGCGGCCGACCACTCGCCATGGCAGTCTCGGCCAAGCTCCAGGAGTGGGGGCTTGGCCACCTCCAAGACGAGTTCAGAGGTAAGTCGCTTTTCCCCTTCCGACGTTTAGGCACGGTGAGTTTTGCCCATGCCAACAGGTTCCATACCTTTTAGAAACGTGTAATCTAACCATAAATCCCGGTTTTTCATAACGCGTGGAAAGCATTTATGTCGCGTTGTAGAATAGTCCATGTCGTCTTTGTCATGGAACTGCTTACCGACTCTCACAGTGACTTTATGGTAACATAACCTCTTTCACCCATGTGATCATGAGGGTTATAAGTCTTGGATTACAGCTGATTTATTGATTTCAATGGGCCATACAATGGGAAATATTCGGTTTACATAGCTTTTGCATTGAACGATTGCATTTTTTTTTGTTTCCAGACAAGGGAGTGAGAAAAGAAGCGCTTTGTTTGCTGGCAGAAGATGATGTTAACGCTCTGATCCCTGCCTTTGGAGATAGGCTAGTTTTTAAACATCATCTCAAGCTTCTTCAGCAGTCAAACAATGTATGTATTTTTTCAAATTTAACATTATTCTATGCGCCTTACTTATTTGACTAATACTGTTTCTTTTCTCTTTCAGAACAATCTGGTCACTTTGCCCTTTGTTATCAATGGAAACCCTTCGACTTCTATGACCTTCCAGAGCGATTCTGTTATTTTGGATTTGGAGTCAACCCCATCGACTTCTCAGACCTTCCAGAACAATTCTGTCCTATTGCCTTTGAATTCTGAGCCAATCCCTTCGACATCTCAGACCATTCAAATTTGTAGGCCTAATCCTACTCCAGCATCAAGCACTACTGAAGTGAGTATTTCAACTTTAAGTGTAAGTGCACCAAATGCTTGTGAACTCTTTTAACCTTTCCATTAACTTCATTTTTATAGGCTCTCCGAGGGGTTGTCAAGAAAACCAAATATGGTCGTGAGTTGCTTCGCTTGAAGCGTGGACTGAGACTTAGAGAAAGAAGACGGATCAGTGACTTTATTGTTAACCTACATGTTGGTGACGATGACGACCTGAAGTGAGTGTTTGTTTGTTACCATTGTGTGTATACTTTATTGCTTGGTTTTGGTTTCTGCTAATTATTCGTCTTGTTATGCAGGATCTTGCCTTCAGAATTTAAGGAGTGGGCTGAGCAGCTGTCTATTATATTTCCCAAGGATCCTGCTGTAAGTTTTATTTAAAAGTTTTTTGTCGTGGTCTGCATTATAAGTATCCAGTACTGTTTTAAGTTTCTAGCTTGTTATTTTTTTAGTTGCAGTCCCTTTGGTATACACCAAGGCAAAAAGTTGGCAACCAGACTATTGTCCCGAATGGTCCACTTTTAGCTGCTTACTATGGTACAAGAAGGGAGATTTCTGACATGAATGATGAATGTGATGATGATGAGGATGAAGAAAACATTGATGATGTGGAACCTTTATCTGGTAAGTTGTCTAAATATTTGTGTATTATTTTGAGCTGTCATTCAAATTGTAATTTGTCTATAATTTTTTTTAAAATTTTCAGATAATGTTGCAGAAGATATTCATTGGCTTAAGAGTCATTTAGAACCCTGGTGCTCTGTAACTGAGAAATGGCAATCCACTGCAAAGGCTAGGAAGTCCATGAGAGATCACCGACGCGACGTTATGATGTTACAGAGTACCTAGATTCTTTCAAGTGTTTGCGTCAACCCACTGGGCATTTGCTGGTAAGTTATTTAAACCAATACCGCCTTTGTCAAAGAAAATTAAATACCTTAACTGTATATCTCTTAATTTTTTAATTGAATGTCTGTTATTTTAGATCCAAGCTGACTTTGCACATTTGTATGAAGACAAATCCACTAAACTCTTTGACAATGTGGAGGCTTTCTTGACCAAAGTTTTTGAAGAGTTGAAAACAGTGCGCCCTTGTCCTCGTGAGCTGAAATCAATCCTCAAGCAGCAGGAACTGACTGTAAAATCTGGAGGTATGTTTTACTGAACAACTTTTTCCTCCTTGTGTTTCTTTGACATTTGTTCCTTATTTTCCATTGTAAATTGACTAGTAATACTCTTAGTTCTTTTAATGAAGTTTTTATAAAATGAAATTATGTTTTAAAACTTCTCTCATACAATGTCGCTTTTATTTTAATTGCAGGTAGTGTCTACCACAGTCATTTTAATGACTCTTTCCTACCTTGTACCTGTTCACACTGTGAGCAAGAAGAAAAGAAAAGACACAGCAGAGGAAATTAAGGGGTGGAGGCCCAATCGCAAGGAAGTCCAGGATGGGTTCATCACTCACATTGATGTAGGTACATTTTATTTAGGTTTGTATTATTAGTGTTATGTTTGATTCATTTCTAACGTTTGGCTGTTGTTTGTTTTTCAAACAGAATGTTGCAGAGCTTCATGAAACGGTCAACAGACGTGATCGAAAATTTTTGGATATTAAACAAACAAGGCAGCCATTTGTTGTATTAGTTGGACAAGATCAAGAAAGTATCACAGCATCATATATCTGTGTCAATGACTTTTTCTACTTGATGAGTTCACCACTTGAAGCTCTTGATATTTGTTTCAAGACAATATTTGCTTTAGGGGTGAAATATTCTATTGAAAGTAGGCCCCTATGGATGTTGCTCCAAACTTTTGTGTATGACATTTACACTTCTTATGACAAGCTCAGTGCTACTGCTTCTACTATTAGTCTTCTTGCAAGATTTAATGTAAATCTTCAGTAGTTTTCCTGTTATGTGCCAGTGATTCTATGTATGGTTTTCTTCGTTTGTTTTGGTAAAGGTTTAGTTTTTCGTTTTTGAAAATTATATTGTTTGCTACTTTCCAAAATGGCTGTTTGTCCAGTGTGCAAAACTGAAACTCACTCTATTCAACGGCTAGATCTTCATTTGCAATTAAAGCATCAAATTCATGTGTCTCATGGCTTTCGTGACTATTCTTGCTTTGAAGCCAATTGTTTCAGAGAGTTTTTAAACTGGAAAACTTACAGAGAACACTTGATTCGATCTCATAATGTTCCTATCAGTGTTAGTGGTTCAAAGATTATTTCTGAGGAGCCACCTCAGAAACGTTGTAAACTGAGTGTTGATGTAGATTCTCAGAATGATTCCAGTAATGCAAGTACAAGTTTTTCTAGTCAAGAAAATTTAGATAACTTAAGCATTGTAGATTGTTGTGATATGAATCCAACTAGTACTGATGTTCCGTCTTTTGATTCCTTGAAAGATACAATGAAAGAAAGCTCAGATAAGTTTTTGAAAGAAATTTACTCTAACAAGAGTATTCCTAGAAATTCTGTGCAGAAGATAGTAACCGAAGTTACTGAACTTGTTTCTAGTAACGTATCAAATGTGAAAAGTGTAATTAGGTCTCAACTGAGTGCTGCTAGTGTGCCCATTGAGACATCTGCTTATGTTGAGAAGTGCCTAACTATGATTGAACACCCTTTTCGAAACCTGTCCTCTGATTATTTAAGGCTAAAACATTTTCGGAGTGCTCCTACCTGGGTGGAGCCCGAGGATCTTGTCATAGGTGATGCTGAGGATCTATCTGCTTCTAAAGTGACTCCTGTTTCCGTCAAAATGTCTTATATTCCATTGGCTAGTTCACTTAAAGCTTGTCTAGAATCACCTGGTGTTTTTAATGCTATGATAGAATATATGGCCTCTTTAGAATCAGAACCAGTTGACTGCATTTCTAACTTTATCCAATCTGAGTTTTGGAAATCTAAAGTAAAAGACAAGCCTGGGATCCAAATACCACTTTTCAAGTTTTATGATGACTATAATGTTAATAATAGTTTGGGCCCTCATGCAGAATCCGGCAAATTAGGTGGGGTGTACTGTTCTATTCCAGTGTTGCCTCCAAAAATGAGGTCACTAGTTGATAATATTTTTGTTGTTTTATTGTTCAAGTCTCAAGACAGGGAATTGTTCTCAAATGATATTATATTTCAGAAAGTTATTGAAGAATTAGAGGATTTGCAAGAAAATGGGATAACTATTTGTGTTGATGGCATATCACAAACTGTATATTTTCGCCTTGGTTTAATTCTTGGTGATAATCTTGGAGTTAACTCCATGTTTGATTTTGTTTCATGTTTCACAGCGAACCATTCATGTCGGTTTTGTAAAATTCATCGAGATGCTCTTCATTTTGCTTCAGAGGAAGACCCTTCATTGTTGAGAAATGTGAACAATTATTCAGTGGATGTTTTAACTAATGATGTTTCTGCCACTGGAGTTGTGAAAAATTCAGTGTGGAATAGTCTTCCTGGTTTTCATGTGACATAAAACCCTTGTGTTGACATTATGCATGATTTGTTGCAGGGTGTGTGCCACTATGATATGGCACACATAATTCAGAGCTTAATTCGTAAAAAATACTTCTCACTTGATGACTTAAATTTTCATATAGGCTCTCATGACTATGGCTGCTTCAAAGGTGAAAACAAGCCTACTAGTATTAGAGTGGAAAACTTGAAAGAGTTGCATTTTAAAATGTCTGCTAAAGAAATGCTTACTTTTGTCAGAAATTTTTCTGTTATGATGGGGCACTGTGTTCCAAAGAATGACCCTGTGTGGTATTTCTAGTATCTTTTGCTTCGCAGGATTTTAGATATAGTTTTGTGCCCTGTTGTGACTCCTTCTCTTCGTGATCTGTTAGACAGTCTTGTAAAAGAGCACAATGATTTGTATTTTGTGTTGTTTCGTGACACTCTTAAACCCAAACATCATAATCTTGTGCACTTCAGTAGAATTATGAAATTAATAGGCCCTTTAGTGCATGTTTGGTGCATGCGTTACGAGTCCAAAAATAGGTCTCAAACAGTGGCAGCTCAGGCCACAAGGTCAAGGAAAAATGTTATGAAGACTTTATCTTTAAGAGAGCAAATCACTCAAGTCACCAAGTCAAATGTTTTGTCTTCCTCGGACTGTGAGTTTGGCCCTTTGAAACACTGTGATGTGCTCGATAAAAGTTCAGACTTTTTAAATTTTATTCCATGTTTGCCTTTTGTGAACAATTGCATGAGTACCCCTTTTGTTATATACAAAGGTACTGAGTACAAAGTTGGCTCTTACATTTCTCTTGGTTCCAAGGATGATGGGGGTTTACCCCTTTTTGGTAAAATATGTTACATTGTGGTTAATATTGAGGAAGAGTTCAGATTTCTTGTCCATGCCTATGATACAAGGGAATTCTCTGACCATTTTCATGCCTATGTGATCTCACATAAAGAGTTCTTGTATAAATGTGTGTCAGTTCAGGAGTTGACCCATTCGCAAAATTTCAATGGTAACTTTAGTGAAGGGGAGATGTATATTTCATCTCGTTACATTGTATAATGAGACTGTTACATTGTATAATGAGACTTGTTGTTAAATGTTAAATAATGTTGTTAAAATGTTAATTGTTAAAATGTTAATTGTTAAAATGTTAATTGTTAAATAGTGTTAAATAAATTATTCAATTCAAAACATTTTCCTGTAATTTCTCCTACTCCAACAAACAAATAGCAGTGAATCAAAGTTTGCTCTCGGAAAGTACTAAACGTGCCCCAATGAGTGGGGAAGAAAACTGCTTTTGCAACACAGATAAAATAAAAGAGCAAGACAGATAAAATTTTAGTTCTGCAGTTATGGTGGAGTATCAGTGTGCCTAAAATATTTAGCCAAATTAATAACTGCATTCTCAGTGTAGCTAAAAGCTTCTTGCACAAACAGCAAATATAAATTTTGTGTATTTGCTAGTCCCTGTTCGAATCACTGCTAATTTTTCTCAGCTAACAGAATTTAGTTGTATGGCTAAAAAAATAGCTGCGCGCATACAACTATTTTAGTTCGCACCGGTGCTAATTTTTTAGCTCCCACGAATTTTTTTTTGCGTGAAGTGAGAGGAAATTTGTATTGCGCGGAAAGAGCGGTCTGAATCGCAAGTGGAATGACAGTGACGACCCACACATGCTGGGCCTATCATTGACGTAGACAGCCCCCTCCCCCTGCCTCGGCCCGTACGGGGCTTTTCTCTGAACCTTAAAAATGCCGCGCCGGGAAACGCCAGTCCTCCACGAACCAATGTTATTCCACTTGCGATGCAGACTGCACTTTCAGCGTGATGCATATTTTATCGCTCTTTTCTGTGATGATCATTGCGAAAAGTTGTGATGAGCTGCTGCATCGCAGAATTTTGCAATGGTCCTTGCAAAAAACTGTTAAAAATGCAGAATTTTTGTTGCCGTCATTGCATATTTATGCAGTAATTCCTATTTTCTTTGCAGGAATGTGCGACGATCATTTCAAAATTTTTGTGATACAAAAGTCACGGCATCTGGGGAGCAATGATTCGTGGGAATCAAATGTTTGATATCATCGCACGTTTTTGTGTTGAAATTGTCGCAACTTGGATAACAGTGACAGTGTTGTGCCATGTACCGAGTGCATGTCACCGTCTCGCTAAATGTACACGATTCTTCGCGCACGATGCCAGAAGAACATCCACGATGCACGACTCTACGACCCACTATAAAGCGAACACTCATTCCCGGAACTGTCACATTAGCTTGGATGTGAATCGGCAAAAAATTAGCTTGTTCACATTCAAACGAATGTGCCACAATGCTCAAACGAACGTGATATTTTTGTCACGTTCGTTTCAACGTGATGTCCCGTTCCTAGAATGAGAGTGAAAGCACGCCGCCATGTCTACACAGAAATTGAAAGTCATGATCATGATCAAAATTTTGGGTGAGGATATCTACCGCCCAAATTTCGGCGAGAAACGGTTTGTCGCACCGTTTTGACACATTAAGTCACCACGCACGATCCTGCTTCGCTTACCTGTGTGGCTGCATGTACCGAGCATTAGCCAAGGGCAAGGGGAAATCTTCTATCTAAATCTAAATTGGGCATTACGAATGTGACAGCACATGGGTGTCACATTCGTTTGGGTGTGACACGACATGCTTCCAGGGGTTCCATGTGTCACATTCGTTTTAATGTTACGGTTCGCCGGCTGATTGCGTGTCCCACCCGAAGTAATGTCACAAAGCGGTGCGGTGTGTCACATTCGTTTGACTAAATTTTCACCGTTTGCCACGCTCACACTAACATCGCAGTTTTCACGTGAAAACGACCGTGACGTCACATTCGTTGGCTACCAGTGCAGCGGAGATAGGGACGGTTACAGCAACACGCCAGTCATGGTGTCCACGGAGGGTTTTCAAGACCGATAAGAAGACAGGCATCTCGTCTCAACCCTTCAGGCCATTCCAAGACGACCTCTGAGATTGAGCTGACAGTCAACTGCATACGGTCGTTTTCTCTAGATCATTTCAATTGGGTCACCAACATCCCACCCCTGTCTAAACAAAGGCGAGTTCTCTAACGCTGTCTCAAACGTCGAAGCGATATTCTTTGCCACTCTTGAAGCTATGTAATTTTTCTTTTTCGAAGAGTGCACGCGACTTAATGGTAACAATGCACAATTTCATTTTTCACTTTTTTATTGTCAGATTATTTAAGTAACGATTTGTTTTGTGTTGAGCTTAATGACCCGTGCAGCAACATACATCAAAACATTCTCGCGAAAAAAATAAATAAATCAAGAACCAGAAATGGGATTAATGCTGTAGAGCTGGTATTTGGGGGGGGGGGGAGCTGCACACTAAATGCTATGTACAATTTTGTACGAGACATCATGGGTTTTTGTGCACACGAAATTTTCGTACAATTTTCGTGCGAAAAACTGCTCGTTTTTCGACATTTTTGTACAAAATTGTGCAAAATTTTGTACAAATTTGTACGAAAAGTTCTCGTGCACAATAAACTGTGATGTCTCGTACAAAATTTGTACCAAAACATTTAGTGTGTGGCGGGCGGCTGCTAGGCGGCCTGGCGGCGCGTCAGCCGACACAAGCGGCGAAGTGGCTGGTGGCGCGCGCGGCCGACATGATGCCCTTGCCCGCCACGCACGAGCCGAAGGCCGGCGGCCCCATGGTCACGGTGGGCACACACACGCCCAGCACCTTGGCCGCGCCGCCCGGAAACGCCTTGAGCTGCGTCTTCAGGCAGTCCTTGATCTTCTTCAGCTTGGCGTGTGCCGCCGGGGACAGGTGCGGGTGCGGCAGGTGCCAGTGATGCCCCTCCTTCTGGGGCGGCGTTGCCTCCTTGGGCTCCGCTGTACTATTGGACAGTGGCTGCCCCGCGTCTACCTGTCAGTCGAAACCGGTACTCGTTTACAGTGGACGTCGCAGGTGCCGGGTGTTGAGCCCTATTTGAGCCGCGCGCGGCCAGCCGCCACACAGTGGGCCAGAGCCAGAAGACCGGAGGAGGCGGCCAAAACTCCAGACGCCTTTTTGAGCTCCAGAGTCACTAAATGTGTCTAGAACCTGGATTGCTCTTCGAACGAGGAGTCCATTGGTGGGGTCACACGTTCGGTTCTAGACCCATTTGGTGACTCTAGAGCTCAAAACGCGTCTGGAATTTTGGCCGCCTCCACCGCTCTTCTGGCCCACAGTGCGCCACCTTCTACGAAGTCTGGCGCAGCGTGGCGTCACGTACCAAGGTGGACGCCGGCACGGCGAGCACGGCGAGCAAGGCGCCGCACAGGAGCAGACGGCCGGCCATTGGGCGGAGGGGAAGAGGAGAGAAGAGAAGGTTTGCACGCACCTCGGGGGCGGCGGTTTCTCGAGTGGCGTCGATACGCCGAGCGGCGTGACTTATACTCGGCCAGCGGCCTGATTCCGAAACGCTGCCCTGCCTCTCCGTCTCTCTCGCACACGTGGGGCCTCCCGTGGGTGCGAGTGAGACAGAGCGCCGTCACGGAGTCGGCCTTCAGACAGCCAGCCGGCCCCGCCAGGGAGCCGAGCCCCAAACGGCCGCCGCGCGTGCCACTGTAAAAAATTAATGTAAATTTACGAAAAGTTTTGTTACAAATTCTTTGTCAGGTTACGAAAGTGTTTCGTTATTTTATGATGTTTTTTAAGTGGCCGTTTTATGAATTATTCATTACAGAAATCTTCAAAATTTTAAGAAATTTGTCTGTGAAAACCGACTTTTGAGATGGTACGAACGAAATGCATCTCAAAGGTGACGATAATTCTACAAGGTCACAAGATTATGAAATGTTTCCTAAAATTACAGCAAATCTTTGGGTAATATTGTTGCATAAATTGCTTGTAAAATTACGAGATAAGGTGAGGTGATGTCAGCAGGTATACAGTCTGACCAGGTTTTGTTGTGAAGGTTCCAAGTAGAATGTATCTGAGTAGACCTATCGAAAATGGCAATAAAATGTTTCAGTCGGTCGACCCCCTTTTTCGAAGATACTGATCGGGCCACACTGTAAAAAATTATGTTGTAATTTAGCAGTAAATATGTTGCTAATTTTCTTAGCGATCAAAGTTGTTTTCAAATGACTTTCGTTGTTTACTCACGAGTTGCGTCGTTCGTCCACAAGATGTTTGTAAACCGGTAGACAGCCTTATTTGCATCAATTTTTATTGCCGATTAGGTCACAGACCTAGTAGAGTCCCGGTTACCCCGCAGTAACCACTTCTTAGATTGTCCGGGTTGTTTGTACGCAGCAAAATATTGATTTGAAACAGCATAAGTCATAAAAATAATTAGCAACGAATTCGTCGTTTTAAAACAAGCAATCTTGTTCACAAACAACAGCGTTGTCGAGGTTGGTAATTGTGTTGTTGTTTTAAAACAACAATTTTTAACAGTGCAACTGCCGGAGGAGGCGGGCTCGTAGACCCCCCCCCCCTTTTTCCTACCTCATTTAGTCATAATTTGTTCTATCATCTTAATGTTCATCAGAAGTGTATTTAAGGGGGCAATACACTGAAAATGGCCAAAAACTGACTTGTGCGATTGCTTCCATACGCGATGTTAAGCGTAATTCAAACTTTACATGTGTCAAGATCTTACAATAAGAAGCATTTCAAGCCCAGAATGGCGTCGATCGGACGTCCGGGAGCGGAGCAGTGCCCAATCAAATTTTCGTCAAAAGTCGAACTGGCGGGCGTCCCTCAGTCCGCAAAAATGAAGATATCTCGACCCCGTTTGCGCCTAAATGTAGGTAATTGAAGCGGCTATAGCTTGAACTAGGATTAGGAACATCGAGCAACCCAAAGTACAAACTTTCATCCAAAAACACTTTTTGAGGATTTTGCAAAAATGATCAAAACAGGTTCTTTCGTAAAATTTTGTACTTTTGATTGTTCTATGTTCATAATCCTCGTTCACGCTATAGCCGCTTCAATTACCTACATTTTGGCGCAAACGGGGTCGAGATATCTTCATTTTTGCGGACTGAGGGACGCCCGCCAGTTCGACTTTTGACGAAAATTTGATTGAGCGCTGCTCCGCTCCCTGACGTCCGATCGACGCCATTCTAGGCTTAAAATGCTTCTTTTTGTAAGGTCTTGACACATAAAAAGTTTCAACAACGTTCCACAACGCGTATGGAAGCAATCGCACAAGTCAGTTTTTGGCCATTTCCAGTGTATTGCCCCCTAATGTGCAGCTTTCTTCAAAAATCATACCTCCTTGAGTTGCATCTTGCAATTCCGTTATCCTCCTGTTTTTGATTCGAGAGTGTGTCTTTCCTTTGCTGGATCTTCGATTCGCTTTTCACGAAAACTCTTCGGTAAATTGGGCCAAAATCTAAGGTCAGCCCTTGGAGTATTCCCCTCTAACGCGCCAAAAATCAGGCAATAGATAGGGTAGAAAACAATCAACACCACGGGAAATATGCCGATCATAACAAAAATATGACACAGATTAAAAAAAAAACAATGTTTTAATTTGTTCCAGGTCCCGATAAGTCGGGAAGTGCCATGTCCTCACAATGTTCAGCGGCCGCCGGAACACGTGGCCAGGGCGACTCGCTGGCACCGGGAGAAAGAGTGAAGGTATACCCACACTCCTAGGAACTGAAGCGCACTGTTACGCCGCAATGCCTTAAGTCACCAAGGGTAGATGGTGCGCTTGAATAATGCGGACAGCTTCACTCTAAATGTCTTACAATGAAATTTGACGTATGTTGTCCGTATGTTACAGTTCATTCGGCGCAAGCACGAAGCAATATTTCTTCGTAGTACACGAATCTTTTAACCTTTTCCATTGTAAGATTCAAAGAAAAACCTTCGTAATACGAAGAAAAAGCACCTCCGTACTATGCTTGCGCCATTTCCTTCGTATTATGGGAAATTTCTTCGTAAGACATTTAGAGTGTACGTGCACTGATAAAAATTTTGTTGTAACTTAGCGACACATCTGTCGCTAATTTTTTTAACGACAAGATTTGTTGTGGAACGAATAGCTTGTTAAACCATAGTCGTACAGGAACTAAAGGATAATTTCACAACGACTAACTTGTCACATCTACAGTCCCCTTTCAAAAACAAGTCGTTGACCAACAACAAATGTTGTAAGTCAACGACAAGTATTGTAAGTCGAAAAAGATTTTGTTATGTCTGCGACAAGTACTCATGGAGAAATTTTGTCGCTAAATTTATTTGGCCTGGTTCTTTTTTTTATCAATAGTTATTTCACTATGACTTGGCGAACAAATTAAATGAATTTTCATAATTCGCTTTAATTGAGCAGATAATTGCAAAAGATGTTGTTTCCACACAAAATGTATCGTTAAGGGTGATAAAAAGAATATTGTTCTTCAACGACAAATTGTCGCTGACTTGAGTCAACGACAGTTGTTTCGCTTTGGTTCATGATGAAATTCTATGTTTTGGAACGACTAAATTTTCACTCATCTGATTGTTTCTGTACAACCATTTTTTAACAGTGTGTACAGGCATTGCATGAAATATATGCATCTCATCTGATCCGGGGTCGGAAAAGATAAAAGATACTAACATCGATTGGGCATAAGATGAGCTCTGTTGGCGACTACGAGTCCTGCCCTGACGCTGGTGAGGACTCATCATAAGAGCACATGTTTTCTCGCCGTCTTTGCCATGTTTCCTATACAAGAAATCGTCCTACTGGGCCGAGGGGGAAACAACTCAAAATTTTTGTGTACACTTTCCAAAATTTTTCAAAATTTTCCAAATTTTTCGAAATTTTTTCAAATTTTTCAAATTTTTTAAAATTTTTGAAATTTTTCAAAATTTGTCAAAATTATGTAAATTTCTCATTATTTTTGGAATTTTTTGTAAATTTCACAAATTTTTGAGATATTTTTTACAAATTGTTGAAAATTGTTGAAATTTTTGGGATGGCTATATCTGTCCACCATTTTTTCCGTCCCCCGTATTATTGGGGAGTGGCTCACTGTATCCCCGCACGCCTGAACCAAATCATTCTTTATCAATTTTCTCACTAAACATAAAATAATCATCAAAATTACAAAATTATCTGAGATTATTACAAAATATTGCTAATTAATTGAAATTAATCAGTATTAATACAAGTAAATAATTTATTATCATTTTATCTCAAACGTTTGGAGTGAGGTGATGTTTTGAGTGGACTACTTCCAGGTGGGTGAATTGACATTGCGAGATTGGCGGTGGAGATCTGTTGGGTCAGGCTATGATCTGGCACGAGTAGCGTAATATCAGCTGCGCTAGAGTACTTAAGAACTCGTCACGAGAGTGCAAGATCTGCCCCGTTAGAGTAGGATCTGTCTCGAGTAGCGTAGGATCTGCGGCGTTAGAGTAAGATCTGTCACGAGAAACGTCTGATCAGCCGCGTAAGACTAAGAACTTGTCATGTGAAGTAAGATCTGCCACCTAAGAGGATGGTCTGTCACGAGCAGCATAGGATCGGCCGCTTTAGAGTAAGATCTGAAACGAGTACCGTAAGATCTGCTGCGTTGGAGAATGATCTCTTACGAGTAGCGTGAGATCTGCCACGTTAGAGTAAGATATATTCACTGAGATTCCAAACGCTATGAGTATAGCACGTATGGTGCAATGCAGCTGAGATATCGCACCACACGTGCAATACGACAGCCATATTGCACCTTACGTGCAATACGTCCCAAAAATGCCCTAAGCTAATGCATGGGAATAAGAAGGCATTGCACTTCATGTGCAATGCTTTTGCATTGCACCAATTGACGCTATACACATAGCGTTTGGATTCTCAGTGTTGCGTTAGAGTATGATTTGTCGCGAGTAGGGTAAGGTCTGTCACAAATCCATTAGGTTTGGTTAGGATAGGTTGGACCTTTTAGTTTCAGGTGTATATGCCTCTCGTCTGACGGCTCGGTTCCAATTCAAATATCAGACGCAATCACGATCTGCAGATTCGGATTTAGTTGGGTAATTGATAGCACGCTGTCACCCGCCTGGGAGCAGTCAACCACAAGCCTCACCTTACTGCAAACATATGTGATAAAATAATAATTTAATTGAAATAATACTGATAAATTTCAATTAATTAGCAATATTTTGGAGTAATTTCAGATAATTTTGGAATTTTGATGATTATTTTATGTTTAATTTGCAAATTGATTAAGAATAATTTGGTTCAGGCGTGCGGGGATACAGTAAAGCCATCCCTATTATTGTGTCCCCCCTAAGATAAAATTATAAAACATATATTATATATAAAATATATATAGTATCACCTAATTTTTAATAAATTATAAGCAAAGAAATAGAAAATACTGTCAGAGGAGTAAAGTTTTGATAGAAGTTGACCTAAATAATTCTTAAAAATTATCAAAAAATTATATATTTTTTTTTAAATTATCTTAAAAACATAGGGGCAGAAATATGCTGCCTTGACGTCATTGTGGACACTATGAAAAATTTCGCATGCTTAAAACCAGGTGACAGGCTGCCTCTAAGCTAGAGAGCCATCTAGGCTCTCTACTCTTGGCCAAAAGGTTCCGTCACTATGAAAAAGTGCGCAACCAGTCCCAGGCAGACCGCGCAGTCACGGTTGCGGTGAGCTTGGCGTACTCCAGGTTGTGAGGCCCTTGAGTCGTTCAAGCACGCCGAATAGGCCGCGCCGCAGGTAGCGTACGGTTGAGGCGTGCTTGGCGTCCTCCAGGTTGTTGGGCCTTTGAGTCACGCAAGCACGCCGCCTAGGCCGCGCCGCAGCCAGCGTGTCCTCCAAGCGCCCCTGTCATTCGTGCGTAATTCAGCCTCACCACCTGGGTGACGGCGTTCTTGGGCTCCGCCGGCATGCATAACCTTCAGTCGCGCAGCACGCCGCCGCGGACGCGCCGCAGCCAGCCTAGCCTGTCCTCCATGCGCTACGCCACCACTGTTGAGGCGTGTTTTCTTATTGCCTAGTTTCTACCGAAACTGGAATGTTTTGTGATATTAAAAATGCATCCATGGGATGTACGTCGAGGGGTCGACAACTACCTCGAGCCGTGTACGAGGTAGTATATATTACCGGTAATATAAGTAATATAGGGTAATATAAGGTAATATACGGAAATAAAACAACGGTAATATATGATAAAAGAAGATGAGAACGTGACACAGTATCCTTGACTCAGGCTAAAATCAGGAGTTCTGGCTAGAATTTTGGTATTATGCAGACCTTACCCTCGTTTCATGACAGCGCCCCCTGTCAGATAAAAGGTATGCAACCCGATGCAACCTATCTGACAAAAGTATGGCGCGTAGCTTCATGTCAGATTGAACACGGACATCAAATCCGAATTTCTTCCTGTCGCAAGGAGAAGCCTAATAGCTTTAACACCTTGATACCAAGGTTCAGTACGGCAAGTTTAACGTTAGTTTAGGTTAGAAACAAGCAAATCACAGAAATATGTGGTAATATAGTGGTAATATAGAGGTAATATACGGTAATACAGGGTAATATACGGTAATATACGGTAATATAAGGTAATATAGAGGTAATATAAGCTCTGCGTACGAGGTAATATGAGAGTTGTCGACCCCTCGATGTACGTACGTGAGTCCACGTTCCTGCCTTTAGGGTAGTACAGAAAGAGTGTCACAACTAGAAGAAATGAAAATGAAACATGAATTTTAAAACAGAAAAGATAGAATATTTTATTGGGTCTTCAACAGTGAGCAGGGGAAAAGGAAGAAGACTCAGCAATAAATGTTTTCAAAAGAACTTGCAACTCGTCGGGAACCCCTGCACTAGGGTGGTCCACTTTTTTTAAAAGTTTCAAAAATTGAGGAGCGCCGTCCAGATTCTGAAAGTAGGTGTAAAATCATGAATTTTGATACAAATATGATAAGATTTGGACCATTCTTAGGGGTCCATCAACGCGCCTGAACTTTAAGGAAAAGTTGAAAATGTAGCGGTATACTAAAATCGATGCTGTTACGAGAGTCTTTGTCCGATTTTCGATTGCAAAACGGCGATCTTTTCAGAAAAGTGCGCTCTACTTGATGATGTACATAAAATGACGATCCGACGCATTGCCTATTTTCCAGGGGCGTACAATCCCGTTTTTAGCCTCTAAATCCAACATGTTCTTGCGTTTTGAAGGTGTTTAAGTCGTCCGATCAGATTTTTTGGGTCACCATTCGACGCGCCTGATCAAAACCTTTCGAAAAATGTCTCAGGCGTCAAAATCGGTTGGTTTGCCTACTGTACAGGAGCAAAAAACCACTGAAATTCGCTTAAAAATTGCTTTTTCGGGATACGAAATATCCTGTTTGGCATTGGGTCGGATTTCTTGTGGTGCCATTTGTCGCGCCTGGTCAAAAACTTCCAATTACCGTCCTGGCTGTACAAATCCGGGGGATTGCCGACCCTACAAGCAAAAAATGTCGAATGTCGAAAAATTCGTCTGTGGGATACGCGACCCTCTGGATTCAGGCGCTCGAAACAGTAATCGAAAGTTTTTGACCAGGTACGTCAAATGGCACCACAAGAAATCCGACCCAATGCTAAACAGGATATTTCGTATCCCGAAAAAGCAATTTTTAAGCGAATTCCAGTGGTTTTTTGCTCCTGTACAGTAGGCAAACCAACCGATTTTGACGCCTGAGACATTTTTCGAAAGGTTTTGATCAGGCGCGTCGAATGGTGACCCAAAAAATCCGATCGGACGACTCAAACACCTTCAAAACGCAAGAACATGTTGGATTTAGAGGCTAAAAACGGGATTGTACGCCCCTGGAAAAAGGCAATGCGTCGGATCGTCATTTTATGTACATCATCAAGTAGAGCGCACTTTTTTGAAAAGATAGCCGTTTTGCAATCGAAAATCGGATAAAGACTCTCGAAACAGCATCGATTTTAGTATGCCGCTACATTTTCAACTTTTCCTTAAAGTTCAGGCGCGTTGATGGACCCCTAAGAATGGTCCAAATCTTATCATATTTGTATCAAAATTCATGATTTTACACCTACTTTCAGAATCTGGACGGCGCTCCTCAATTTTTGAAACTTTTTAAAAAAGTGGACCACCCTACCCTGCACCCCCTGTGCGTCCGTCGTCACTCCATCCCCCTCACATGGAATGTCCCGCGAGTGCGAGAGAGACCGAGTGCCGATAGGCACTAGCGGGTGCAGCCGGCCCCGGCTGCTGCTGCGCGTCGTCGCGCGCATCTCGGCCGAGGCCGCCAGGTGCCAAGGCCGCGAGGGTGGCGGGGTGGCGATGGTGCTGAACTCAGAAAATCGTACCGAGAATTGTGGTCGCGCCCTCGGTCGCGCCCCTGCGTCGCACGAGGCGGAAACGACTTCAGTTATCCGGTGTACAGCAAATTGGTAATCCGTTATCCAGATAACCAGAAATTTTGAAGTAATCCGGGGAAATTCTGAGGTACTCCGGGGTAATCTGGCGCAATCCAATAGTTATCCTGGAAATTTTTCGATGTAGTCCGGAGGTAAGCCGCGGGTTATCTGGGGTTATCCCTATTCGATGTACACAAAATTTCTCAGTCGTTTCCCCCTCGGCGTCGCACCATGACCGATCTCCCTAGCGGAGATGGAGCCGGCACGGGGAAGTCCGACACGCTGTCTTCTGCTCTTCAGGGACCTTGTGACGGCCCTGCGACGACAATCGACCCTTCCACCGCTTTCAGTGCCCGGCCCGGAGCCACCCAAGGCAGCGTGCTGACTCAAAGGCTGAACATCCTGGCAGAGGACAAGAGCACGCCTCAACGGTGGTGGCGGCGCGCCTGGAGGACACGCTGGCTGCGGCGCGGCCTAGGCGGCGTGCTTGCGTGACTCAAAGGCCTCACAACCTGGAGGACGCCAAGCACGCCTCAACCGTACGCTACCTGCGGCGCGGCCTATTCGGCGTGCTTGAACGACTCAAGGGCCTCACAACCTGGAGTACGCCAAGCTCACCGCAACCGTGACTGCGCGGTCTGCCTGGGACTGGTTGCGCACTTTTTCATAGTGACGGAACCTTTTGGCCAAGCAAGAGTACAGAGCCTAGATGGCTCTCTAGCTTAGAGGCTGCCTGTCACCTGGTTTTAAGCCGTCGAAATTTTTCATAGTGTCCACAGTGACGTCAAGGCAGTATATTTCTGCCCCCACGTTTTTAAAATAATTTTTAGAAATTATTTATAGTTATTTGATAATTTTTAAAAATTATTTAGGGCAACTTATATGGGAAGTAGTGAGCTCAGCTCATTTATTTTGCATTTTTCATTCATATTATTTAGTTTTAAATGGAGGAACCAAAAATTAGATAAATTGTCAAATAATCCGTTTTAAATGGGGGACAGATTTATTGGTGAATAGTTTGTCTTGGGGGGAAGTTGGATTGGTGGACAGTTGGGGATACCCCAAATTTTTTGTCAATTTTTGCAAATTTTTGGCAAATTTTTCTAAATTTATGAGAGAAACTAAAAGAAATTTGTGAAGCTTTCCCAAAAATTTCGAAAATTTTTGAAATTTTTTTCAAAGTTTTGAAATTTTCTCAAAATTTTTTGAAATTTTTGAAATTTTTCAAATTTTTTTACATTTTTTGAATTTTTTGAAAATTCATATTGGTTATCAGACCAAATTACTCGGAAATTTTTGTAATTTTTTGTCTAAATTTCTTGGAATTTTGTAAATTTTTTATAAATTTCCTAAATTTTTTGAAATTTTTTAAATTTTTTGAAATTTAAATTTTTAGTGTACATTTTTTTGGCTAGTTGTTTCCCCCTTGTACTGGGCTCACCTTATGCTCGATCAAAGGATGATAAAATTTTGCATCTTTTGAGACCCTGCTCATATTGATACCATATTTGGTTTCCGAGTAATCGGCCCAAAACTTACACACTCAGCCTCGTATTAGCATTTTATCACTTGGAAATTTTTTTTGTGCAAACGTCATATTTACTCATGAACTGTGTCCCGCCTAAACCGTTTTGCCGCGTACGCGGTTGCTAAATGTAATTCCCGAATCAAGCAAAATACCGGAAAATTCACCCGCAGTCGCTCCTTTACCCCCCCTCCAATTGATCCAGGAAGCGGAAGAAGGGGATAACTCAATTTTGGCCATTTTTCAGGAGAAACAAAAAACTGTTAGCAGGGAAAACTAAAACAAAACAAATGAATGTTGCACATGTTAATAATTTCAAAAAGCATTAGTAAAATTTTGGAAAAAAAAATCAAAAGTGTAAGGCCACTCCGTAGAGGATTTCTGCGACTTATCACTTTCCGTTGAAATGGAAAACAGAGTCAGCTCACCTTATATTTCCTAAACAAAGAGGAATTTGGAGACAAGTCAAGTGGAACAATAGTCTGCATAAAGTGTATGTTACTCTAGTGTATTTTTTGGACTTAGCTCTTTTTTCCAAATTGAAATTTAAAATTTAGGGGGGGTTAAGTTGAGTTGATTCTTTTTACACTAAATTCATAAAAACACAAGTTGAGTTATATCCTTTTCCCAGTTTGTCAAACGGACTCATGTAGGCCAAGGTTGAGTTATCTCCATTTTCCAATGAAATTTGGACTGTAAAAGGGGTTAAGTTGAGTTATACCCTTTTTCCAAGTGGATTTTCTCCTAAACTGCTTGGAATTCAGTCAAATAATTTGGTGTAATGATGTAAACCATTCTAAGGCACAATAATAAAATAAAAACTCATTTTGGGGATAAGTCAAGTTACTCCCTTCTTCCGCTTCCTGGATCAATTACGCGCCTGCGCACTGTACTATTTTGTATTTTGGTGGCTCAGACCCCAGCGACATTCTCTTACGTCTTTCGTGTTTCTCTGTGCGCTCTCACTGCATTGTAGGTGAACGTCACTGTCATGGGGACGCGCCTTTTCACGCACCTCGGTTTTGAGCTGACGTGTCCAACTGACAGCAGAAAGAGTTCCTCCATCATGATTTGGCGACTGTCGCCCACCGACAAGACAATCCGCTGGAGCGCCTTCTGGGACGGCAACGCACCGGTGAGCATTTACTGAAACCCTTCTCGTACACGGTTAAAACGGAACCTGGTTGTCCCAGGAAGCCAATAGTGATTTCTAGGGAGTTCCTCGGGAAAATCAGGAACCGTTTTTACCGTGCGCATGTTAACTCCTAACAACGGACGTTGCTTCGAGGCTGTCAGACTTGACTTCGATCTCCGCTCCAGCCGAGCGACCCCAACCTGCCGAGCGAGGATGGCGGCGGGCCTTACCCGGAGCAGGAGTTCCCCGGCGGCGAGCACACGTTCGTGGTGGAGCGGCGGCCGGCCGCTGGGGGCGTGCCGGACCACATGGCGCTGTGGCTGCAGGAGCGGCCCGACCGCGTGGCCAGGGTGCGCGTGCAGGAGGGCTGCGACCGCCTCAGGACCACCACCTTCATCGGCTCCATCTCCCCGAAGTTCTACAACTGTGAGTACACTGCGAGAATAAAGTTCGGAAAAATTACGGAACATGTCTGGTCAATAATTTGCCCGGCGGACCGTCTGTACCTGACCTACTACGGAACTTCCCTGTACCTGTACTATTTTTCTGCACCTTGTTACGTAAGTTCTTATGGGACAAAAACGGACGTTTCGTACTTTTTAAGCGGTCTTGCTACCGCTTCTAGCTCTGCATCCGATCCCACTCATCCCATCCCATCCATCCATTCAGCGCGCTCGGAGGGGACTGCACGGTCGTGGTTCGTCGTCGTCGGTCGTCGTCAGTCGTCGTCGCCTGCGCCGCCACGCCGCCTCGCCGCGCCAGTCCCCACTCCTCACAGCCACCCCCTCCCTCCTTGCCCCCTCTCTGCCCGGCCTCCCCTGCCGGTCCACGGCAAGACCGCTTTGCTAAGCTTGCCTTGGCGGAACTTTTTTAGTGTGACGCAGTGCCCTTTCTTTCTTTTTTGAGGGGGCGGGGCGGCAAAGTAGCACTTTTTGCCTACTTACAAGGGCAAAGTGGCGCTTTTTGCCTACCTTTCAGGCGGCTTTCTAGGGGTGGGGGTGGGACGATTGTCCTTTTGCCCCCCCCCCCCACCCTGTGGATCCGCGATTTGGCATGCTTGCAAGCACACACTCTTGCCGCGAGTGTGCTTGCAAGCATGCTCTTGGGAAGAGCGTGCTTTGTGGTTGACTCCTTGAGGGAGCATGCCATGCACTCTCATCAGTGTCTAGAGTAGCCCTGAAGCATCGTGTCGTTTTTTCCAGCGGGAGGGGTCTGCGGGCACCAGGGCATGGTGCTGCCCCCCGGCAGCAAGGTGCGCGTCGGCGTGGACGTGCAGAGTACCGACCTGGGCTTCCAGCTGGTGATGCGGCGCCCCCAGGACGCCGCCGAGGCGAGCAGCGCGGTCGCCGTAACGGGCATCGCGGATGACCGCCGCGCGTGGGGCTACTTGGCCAGGGGGCCGGACGGCCAAGTCGTCAGCAGCGTAAGTTAAGTTGGCTCGAGGCTTTGGTAGCGTTGGGCCAACCGTCGGCGTCATCAATGGCAAGAAGCTAAGGATTCTGTTAATCTTTTTGCGAAGATTCTCCGTAGCCCTTTTGTCAGTATGCTCCGTGGGACCAGGGGGCGGCAACGGCCTAGGAAGCGCGTGAAGCCATGCGCGAGCGAGGTGCAGGGGTTACTTATTTTGCTTCGATTGCAAGATCTAGGCCGTTGATTGCAAAACGCGCTTTGCACAGATCAAAAGAGCACAAAATTTGGGATGCATTAGGCCTAGTAGACTGCTCGATACTTCCAATTCAACCGAACACAGGCGCGGAATCATTTACATAAACATGGCGCATGCGAGTCTTTTTCCTACATTTTATGATTCCTGGTTTTTTTCGTTGTTTTCACTGCACCTTAATATTAGGTAAAAGGGGAGTTTCGAGAAGAGCAATAAGCCTAATGCACCCTAAATTTCAAGCCCTTTCCATCGGTGCAAAGCGTTTTGAAAAACACAGTCTAGTTTTCATAATCTCGAACAAGTGCTTAACCTCTGCACTGACGGCGCGAGCATCGCGTCACGCGCTCCCTACGCCGTTGCCACCCCCTGGTGGGACCGTACAGTCTTCTCGGTAGGACCTAACAGTTTTCTGAAAGACTATTGAGCCCTGCGGAGAACACTGTACGGTCCTCCGGAGAATACTGTGAAGTCCTGCGGCGGAGAATACTGTAAGGTCATACGGAGAATATTGACAAGAGGGCTACGGGACATCATCACAAGTTGTTCACAGAATTTTCCTGATCTTTTTTACCGTGTATGTCAAAGTGTACCTTCAGTGAAAACCACGTTTTTTAAAGTTGCGACGTGGCGAAATCGATTCACGTTCGTTAGAATGAGTTTATTACGACGAATGCGTCCTAACGTTTCTCCTATTCTCTCTCTCTCTCTCTCTCTCCCCCTCTCTCTCTTTTTTCAGGGGTTCCGACGAAGGAGGACCCCTATTGTTTTGGACGGCTCAGATTCTTTTCCTTCCGCCAACGCAAATCGAAAAATGGTTCCCGCCAAATTACTCGTTATCATAATCAAATAAAAATTCCTGAAAATTTCGAAAATTTATCGTGAGAATTTAACGTTAACGACTAAAACATAAATTTGCAACAATCAAGCACCCTTATCCGTTCACATTTTTCAGAAACGTTTCAAAAAGAAAATGTGCCACTCCTCATAACTGAACCTCCTGCCTCATCAAAGTGACAAGAAATCATCTGTGTTCTGAGAAAATGGTTAAAACATGAAAAAAAAGTCTCCATGGCAACGACACGGTACCATCGTACCAACTGTCAAAATTTAAAGTCGCTGATAAAACGAAATCAAAACGCCGTGAAATTCGAAAATGCCAATGCTAACGCATTGCACGGTGTCCCAACGTTGGAACATCTTTGAAGTCTGTCAGTAAAAAGTTCGTAGCAGAAAAGACGCAATAAATTAATTTTCGGGGGTTGGCAACAATTTTCTCGGCGTCTGCGCCCTTTCGAAAATCGCGAGGCTGAGAAAACGAGTAGTCGCGCATTGAAACTGCCCCTCCATTGTTGCTGAGGTTGGATTGTTTGGCTTGCTTTTAAAGGTTGTGATTCTCTTGTGATGTTTTCCTCAATTCTGTAACCAGCACGACGGTTGGTTTGACAAACTTTATAAACTCGGCAGGGGTGGTTTCGGAACGCAGATGATTTTCGTTTGACGAACATTAGCACTGTAGATCGCGAGATGGACTGAGATGGTCATTGTGTTAACTGAACCAGGTTTAAGGATGTAAAAATACCGGTAGGATTCAAAGTTACGCAAATAACGGTAAAATTAACGTAGTTAACGTTTAGACGACAGACTTCAAATTGATTTCCACAACCGGAACACCGTGCAATGCGTCAGCATTGGATTTTTTTTTGTTTGTTAATCTATTGCATGGTGGCTTCATGACATCCTTGCGAAGTATTCTCCGGCATTTTGTTACGAACTCCCAAAATATTTTTTCCGCATTGTGGATTATTACTTTGTAACTTGAACGGAAAATGCTTTGCAACGTTCTGGACTTCGCAACTCACTAACTTTTTCTTTGCGATGCGAAGAAAAAAGTGAGCAGGAGTGTTCGTAATGCAAAGCCGGAGGAAACTTGCTACTGTGAAATATTTTCCCAAGCTTTGAAAGCTTTCGACAGCACTCTTGAAAGCTACGAAGCATTTGATTCATAACCACAAAGAAACTGAAGGCATTGTGGAATTGCTTCTATCATGAAGAGATGCTTGCATTACAAAGGATTTTGCCATTTCTTCGAAAGATTTTTCAATGCCTTCATTTTCTCCGTTTTACACTCTGAGAAAAAATGACGGTAAATCCTGGATAATTTTTTTTGCCAAACTTTACCGTACTTCAAAACCCAGTATCCACCGTACTGTCTACAGTTTTTACCGTACTTGTTTTACAAAATATTCCGTAGTTTTTTAACAGGAGTTACCGTTCTTTCGTACAGTCCATGCCGTAGGAAGGATCAGATCTGGTCCCATCAAAGGCCGCTCCCAAGAATTGTCCACATCAGGATCTCGAAAAAAGGGGGTCGACCGACTGAAAAATTTTATTGCACCTTTCGATAGGTCTCGTCAAGACCTTTTCAACGAGTGGTCGGAAGGGGGGTCCAGGAGTCCGATTTCAGCAGTTACGTACATCAGGATATTGAAAAACAAGGGTCGACCGACAATAAAAATTATAGCAGTTTTTGATAGGTATTAAAAGTACGGGACTGCCGGGTAAAAAAGTACGGGATTCCCTGTAAAAAAAGTACGGCGTTGCCTGTAAAAAAAGTACGGTATTGCCTGTAAAAAAACGACGGTGTTGCCTGTTAAAAAAAGTACGGTGAAGTCTGGAGTAATCAGTACAGGATTTACCGTCATCTTTTATCGCAGTGCACGAAGCGATTCTTCGTAGAGTTTTTACTGAGAGAGCGCCCTTTCCTCCGCAGGCGTACCTGCCCAGTTACCGAGACCCCTTCGGCCAGCCGCAGTTGACGCCCCGCCTGCCGGACGGCGAGCACGTCTTCGTGGTGGAGCGCCGGCCGGCCGAGATGGCCGTGTGGCTCGAGGCGCGCCCCAACCTGGTGGTCACGGCGCCCGTGCTGCAGGGCGAGCCGCTCCACCTCGAGCTGCACGCCGCCCTCAACCGCGTGCTGTACGACAAGGCGTGACCAGAGCCACGGCCGGCGGCTGGAACTGGGGTTCCCAGCAGTTCGTGATGGTGGTTCGAAACGGACAAAAGTTTTCAGCCATCGGCAGATTGGTTCCAGAAGTGTATTTGATCCGCTATCGTATATCTTGTGAGCGGAAATATGGTCTAAATATGAAATTACATATCCAGTGCAAAAAAGAAACTGCGTCTTTCTTTCTACAAGGTGGGTGTACGCCACACCGTGTCTCGTCGTAACAGGCTTCGCGATGCGATGCTGCGCCTGTTACGACCTACTCCTGGCGTACCTACCTTCGCCTGCGGCGCTCCCTGCTTGACTTCGGCAAGCCCTCTCAGAAACTTATGTTGAAACAATGAGTAGAGCACTCCGTGTTGAAGAATTTGAAAAAGGCTTCATGATGGCAAATACCCACATTTGCGTTTCATCCGAGGCCCTGCATAAGCGCCAAAAACGAGTTCGTGGCACCGATTGCCACAACTCAATTGGTCGGGCCCCTGGACTCCTCTTCTGACCCCTCTCGCTGGAAAGGTCGTGGTACTCTACAAACTGAAGAGTGTACTCAGTATACATCTACACATGCATACTTAAAAGTACACACCTTCAGATGCATACCTAGCTGAGTACACATGAACAAATGCATACCTGATAAGTATGCATCTGTAGGTGCATACTTGGCAAGTAGAAGGTGTGCACTTGTCACCATGTAAATGCCCAGTATCAAGTACACATTTTCAGATGCACACTTGGCTGAGTACACATCTACAGATGCATACCTCTCAAGTATACATCTGTAGATGTGTACTCAGCCAAGTATGCATCGGCACTGGTAAAACTAAGTTTAACACTAACAAGGTAGGTTTACGCCAGACCGCGTCTTGTCGTAACAGGCTTCGCGATGTCTCGCTGCCTGTTCCTCCAATCCGCGCCTGGCGTACCTACCTTGGCCTGCGGCGCTAGCCTGCCTTCGGCAGGCAATGGCTTGTCCATCGTCGGTTACTTCTAACTTGATGCATGCTGGGGGGCTCCGCCCCCCAGACCCCCCTTCATTCTAGATCCCTTGTAACTTTCTAACTTGTCAGGGCTGCGGGGCTCCGCCCCCCAGACCCCCCTTCTTCGAGACAGAAGTGATCTGCCTGCAGAAAACTCGATTTTTCGCCGTTTTTTAGGTGTTTTCCGGCTATAAAAACTGAACCAGTTGAGCTAGGATAGTAAAATTTCGCGTGTGTCGAGCCAAGGACATGCCCGAAAAGTGTGCAAAATCTCACCGAGATCGGCTGAGCCGTTCAGGAGGAGTAGTGCGGACACACACACACACACAGACAGACGGACAGACAGAAAAAACTTTTCAACCCCAATGGAGTAACAGGCTTCGCTATCGCTCACCCAACAAATTTGTCCTTGCTACAATAATGACACATACACCACAGTCCACCATCCACCCGCTGACACGTGACAGCACACAAACTTTCTTACTGATTGCTTTGATGTGCCATCGTGAGAAATCGCCTCTGCACACAACTCCTTGGCTACTTGCTCCACAGCCTTCCCCACAGATCTATTATGGCGCTTCCGCAGGGACTCCCAAACATTGGGAATGTTGAGTGCTGCAATGAATGAGTTGACTTGGTCACCGCCAAGAAAAGTATCAATACATCCTATGAACACAACGTAAGGGAGAACTTACTTAATTTTTTCTGTGACTACTTGAAACAAGCACGGGAGAGGCGGTCGTGGTAGGACTAGCCTTCCAGGATCGTGGCGGAATCTCCACGCGATCTCTCCTGGGAGGGTGCGGCAAATAAGTTAACTAGATTGAGGGCTTCCAGCTTACGCTTGAATGCTTGTTGCATGACTGCCTGCACCCCTGCTAAGCGCCGAACGCGAACAAATCGCAGGCGAACTAAGGAAGTGAACATGGTATAATGCTGGTTATCTTGTTGCATGGCTTGAGTGTGACAACGGAGAATCCAATCAGCCTGGACAGGGTTGCCACGCACCTGGAAAACAGGGAAAACCTGGAATTGTCAGGGAAACTGAAACCGTGTCAGGGAGAACCGGGAAAATCTGGAAATGTCAGGGAAATTTGTGGAAGACAGGTCAAAATCTCAACTTTCTTGCCAAAAAGTCAAAAAGTGCCCATCCGCCAGATGGGATATCCTTTCCAAGCGCGACAACTCCCTTGAAAAATTGCCCAAAATGTCAGGGAAAATGACAAAAATTGTCTCTGAAAAACCTAGAAATGTCAGGGAAATCCGGCGTGGCAACCCTGGTGAAGGTCCACCACAGCAGGGAGGGAGGACGAGGCGCAGCGAGGACCCCAAGGCCCAACCCAGAGGAGCGGGGACGGAGCAGGTGGAGTCAAAGGAGAGGAAATAAGGATAAGTGAATGCAGAAGTAAAGTAAAGGTTTATTGGCCAGGTGAGCGATAAGCAAAAATAACAAGTAGACGGTAGGGCCTTACATTTAGAAAACTAGACAGATAGGATAGCGGTTACAACATGGATCAATCTCAGCAATAACAGTCGCAATTGCAATGCCTGGGCGGCATGAAGGGCTAGCTGCTCAGCAGCATAGCTGTCGTAGGTTGTGGCGGCGTGCTCTGCCGCCGCGGCCTCTCTTGCCACGTCCCGCGCGTCGGGAATCTCCTCCACGCGGAAGCAATGGCAAGGGCTGTCGTGGTTGAAGATACTGCAATCCGAGGGGGTATGCGCTCTCTGAACCTGTGTACCGACTATTACGCTATTACGCTCTATTACGCCACAAATTAATCGGAATATAGCTAAAAAGGGCCTCAAACACACCAAAATTGATAAAATTTTGACAATTTCGGCTATTACGCGACTATTACGCGTATTATTACGCGTGTTATTACAGATAGAGTGTACCGACTAATACGCGAGTGCATACCCCCTCGCTGCAATCGCTGTCACTCCAACTGCGCGTGGCGTTGGCCTCCGACCATGGTGACGCTTGTGAGCGGCCAGAGGCGCCAGCGCGAGGGACGCAGCTGGGGGACGCCGACGTGGAGCGGGAGGGCCCTGCCTGGGGCGAACTGGGGGGCCCGGGGTGCGGAACTGCCGCGGGGGAAGATCCCTGACACGCCCGCAGCGGAGGGCCCAGCGGCTGGAGCCGGGGCGGGCTGGGGCACGGCGACGGGGTAGGGAGGCGCCGGTGGAGCACCGCCCGGAGGCCCTGACTGACAGGGACCCCGGGGAGAGTCCCCTGGGGCTCCGACGGCGCCGTCGCCGGGTGGGTCGCACGCCGTGAGCCGCTCCACTGCTTACTCGGACAGGGCGGCCATAGGTGTTGTGTAGGCTGCACACACAACAACAGACAGGGAGGGCTGGGGGGCGGGCTTGGAATGGATGCCGGCGGCGGGCTGTACTCACGCAGATGGTCGGCCTCCCTCAGAAGCAAGGCCAGAAAGGAGCTGGCCCAGAAGGGGTCGTGGTCGAGGCCCAGAACGAAGGCACCCAGGCGCCGGGCGGGCAGCCCGCTGAGAGCCCGGTGAAGCCGGATGCCCCCACGTGTTGATGCCGCCCGGGACCGAGACGGCCACTGTAAACACAGGAGCCGAATCAGCGACGCTGGACTCTGGGCCCTGGGCAGGGGGGCACTTGGCACTCACCTTGGGTGCCGGGTGGAGCAGCTTACTGATTCCGAAGGATGGTGGCGGGTATTTGGAGAGGCCCGTCGGGCACGCGTGGGCGGACCATCTGGCGTCGCACGGCAAAAACTTTGTCGTGTTTTACAAGGACCGGTCACCTCAGCTAAGGTTCTTGGCCCCTGGTCCTTAAGTAAACCCGTCTGGCTAAGGTAGCTCCTTAGGCAAGCGTTTGTTTACATGTCCGCCATGTTGAGCCTATAACCTAATTACCGATGCTTCACACTCAATAAACGAATTTAACCGCGAGTAAAGGTAGTTTCAGAAAATACCAAGGTAAAATGTGCGATTTTTCCATTTCGAGTGCTCGTTTGCCTCTGGATGATCTGGTTCATTCACGTTCGTGAAATATGTGGTCGGCTGAGGGAGCGCCGTAGCATAAACGTAATCCAAATTTCTTTCAGCAATCCTTCCTTCTTTTTGAAAAGCGAGTACAGAATCAGGTTCAGCGTTAAATTTTACGTAAGCAAACATGTTACGTTGTGTTTCATTAGTTAATTTTCTGCATTCCTACAATTGGCAAATTTGAGGTTAAAAATGGCGGACGTGAAAACGAACGCGCTGGGCTAGTTTGGCTAAGAAGCTACCTTAGCCAGAGGGGTCTCCCTAAGGATCAGAGGCCAAGACCCTTAGCTAAGGTGACCGGTCCTTATAAAACACGACAAAGTTTTTACCGTGCGGGCAGGGGGTGGCAACGGCCTAGGGAGAGCGTGAAGCGATGCTCGCGCCGTCAGTGCAGAGGTTGCGCACTTGTTCGAGATCATGAAAACTAGATGGTGTTTTTCAAAACGCTTCGCACCGATGGAAAGGGCTTGAAATTTAGGGTGCATTAGGCTTATTGCTCTTCTCGAAACTCCCCCCTGACTTTATAATGAGGTGCAGTGAAAACACCGAAAAACACGAGAAATCATAAAATTCAGGAAAAACTCGAATGCGCCATGTTGATGTAAATGATTCCACCCTTGTGTTCGGTTGAATTGGAAGTATCGGGCAGTCTACTAGGCCTAATGCACCTTAAATTTTGTGCTCTTTCGATCTGCTCAAAGCGTTTTGCAATCAACGGGCTAGATCTTCCAATCGAAGCAAAATAAGTAACCCCTGCACCACCCTCGTGCATAGCTTCACGCGCCTATAGGCCGTTGCTGCCCCCTGCATGCGTCGGGCTATGTACTGGTCGGGTGATCGCTGCTCGGGCTCGGTCGGCGGTGGTTTGGGGTGGGGAGAGGAGGGGAGAGGGGTAGTAGTGGTCGGTGGTCGTCGGGCCGGGTCGGAGCTGGAACACACACACAGGTACCGGTGAACGTTACGGATGCGGAAAGAGTAGTTTGGACGTTGGGAGTGTAGAGTGTGGCAGACAGCGAGGACAGAGCGACATAGAGCGAAGTGAATCGGTTATCTGCAGTCTTCAATCTGATCAAAGAAGGAAGAATCGTCGTTTGCGATGGGTAAGACTCATTATTCGGCTTTTATCTCATGCCATTTTCTACCCGCCTTGCCTTTTTCTTCCCCTCGATGTTTG